TTTTCCACTCTATCACATTTAACAGGTCCAAGTCCGGCAACGTTAAGGCTCAATGAATGCATTCTGTAAATCAGTCCAAGCACAATATCATTCGTCGCATAAGCGTTCACAAACCGACGAGAAACCACGCTGGCTACTTCTTCCCATTGAGCAACAGGTGTAGAGAGCACGGGAGCTCCGATAAGTATTACTAAACAAAGAGATATATAAAAAGAAAGTTAATCCCGAATATTGACTCAAATGAGGTTAGATCTAAAAAAGAAGATATACCACTATCGATCAATCCATATTTTTTCCTTTTCTGCAATTCGCATAGGCATGACCAAATCACCAAGGCGCCTAATGAATATCCTACCTAGAAGATAGGTCCAAAGATCACATTCAGTTTAATAGGAAATCAGCCGGGATCTCAGATTTTGTGTGCACTTTTTTATATTCATATTTACCAATACGGTAGGTCGTTTTCCTTGAACTCGTTCGCACAAAACATCAGACAAAACAAGACCAGCTTTATACGCGCGATCGACACCTAACGCCCAAGGATTGTCTATCAGATCACCTGCCTTCATCAGTGCCGTTGGTAGTAAAAGAGCACTCGCTAAAGTTGCAAACACTGTACTGTGCAATGCTGATTGTGCGGCCACCTTGACAGCAGATTCTGCCAAGAACCTGCGAAATGCTCGTCCAAGTGATCGGAGAATTCCAATATCAAAGGTTAATGCAAAGGTATCAATATAATTGGCGGTATTTTCAAATGTTGGAAGCCAAGGCTTAGTCACTTCATTATCATCTTCTAGGATGTAACCCGAAATGACAATGTTAACCTTCAATTAATATTAAAAATCAAGTTATTACTTTGACAAACTTAGCATTAATAAACTTTAAAAGGTGCCTACATATAATGACGGAATAAGAGGAATTGTATCGTCACCAATAATTCGTGTGAAAGAAAAATCCTTTAATCCCCGGGTTCTCTTATGCATCTTATAACCTTATGAGTAATTTTCGGGATCAGTATATTAAATGTTACAAAGGAAACGAAGGGTATCATGGGATAAAATGATGATACCTCCTAATCCACCTCCAGCAATACCAAATAACGAAGTCATTAATACAACACTTGAGGCGGTTGTTGCAATTACCCCTGCCCCAGTTATCGCCCCTATACCAGCTGCAACAAGTGGAGCGGCTTCACTTGACAACGTAAAAAAAAAGAAATATTTCTTAGTCAAAACATCTCCATTTAAAAAAAACACGAAAACTTAACACCACCTACCCAAGCCACCAGTCAAGCCAATCGCAGTTGCACCAACGACTACACCAACACCAGTAGCCATCCAACGCCATTTCTTCTTTTTCTTCTCCTGATTAATCAAGCTTGTGCTAGCGCTATCATGCAATTCTTGTATACTGGCGTCAACTTCGTTTGATTTCAATTCTTCCTTGATTTTCTGTTGCTGCATAAAATATAAATGCTGCGCCAAACCTTTTTCCAAGGCCTGGACCACAGATTCAGAGACGTCTAAATATTTGGAACATTTGAATAGAATCGTTCTTGCTCGAGAGTCATATTCCCCTGGTTCCATAATTTGCGATGATAAAACTTCTGAGGATGATGGTAAAATTGCTTCGATTCGTTCACGGCTTTTCGTACGTGATATGACTTTATCTACCCTTTCTTTCATATCGATTCCTTCACTCTGTTTCATGCCTTCACCGTTTGAACTTCTTTGGGCTAAACCAAGACAAACTAGCAGAAGGTCATAAATAACTTCTTCACGAATATCCCTTTCTTCACAGCGTTTAAAATTGCCTATTAGAAGATTAATAAAAGTCGAATCGTCTATTTCTCCGGGCAACGTAAGCAGGACAGTTTGTTCTAGAACCAAAGTCATTTTTGAATATTATAACTGTGTTATTCAATAAAATTGAAAAGGAAAATTTCTAACCTTTTTCGCTAATAGCAAGGTAATGAAAAACACTGGCAAGAAATCTCTTCTTCCATTCCAACTCGAAAGTGTCATTTGACCACGCACACTTTGATACGATTTGTACACACAAAGCCGCTACGTCAAAACACTGCACGGAACTCTGAAACAGTAAAAAACGGTGAGCCATAGCAATTAGCTAAAGTAAAAGCTTAAGTGCATACCCATTTTTGACTATAGGAGAAGAGTTCCATCGCTAACACAAATATCAATTATGGTTAGACGTGTACTTGACGCCAAAAAACAAAGAAATGCAAAATTCGCACTTACGTAGCGGATTTACATACGCATTTTAAAATGGTGGTTGCGTAGACGTTGATAAACGTGGTGTTACGGTACTAATTATTTAAATAAATGTACACATCTACTATACTTTCCTATCACATTTTTCTTATCTTCTGTTGTTTTTTAACGGCATCAAAGCCTTAAAAATAAAATTTAAAAAAATACTTAACGTATCGCCCTTGTCGTTGGTTTAATTTTTCAAACAAGTGCCGGGTTAATGTCTGCCCTTCCCCCTTCCTCTATTACAAGTCCTCAAGAACTTTTAAACCACGATCTACACAACATGGAAAAAAAGAAAGAAAGTATTGTCGGCGATTCAACCCCAGATCGAAAAAATTCGATACCTCCTTCTCTCGAAAAATTCGAGCTTACAACTTCGCCGACAACATTAACACCGAAAGAGAAACAGGAACAATCTTTTAACCCTCATAGTAATAGTAATGAAAGTAAAAGTGATAACTCCATTCCAAGTACTGACGACAAATCGAATTCGAATGTCAATACGTCAAGCGAAACATTGATTACAAATAAAAGAGTTGACTTTCCCCATTTTCAAGTTGGTGTGAGTGAAGATCGGAACAAGCGCTACCGGAGAACAATGGAAGTATGTATACCACTTGCAACATCTAATAAAACCATTTGGCATCATGAAAAATTGTATGTACTCTAATTGGACGAAATTTGCTAACTTTCTTTCTATTCTTTGTAATCAATTTTTTATAGGACGCACACTCATACTTCTATGATTTCGCGGGGGTCGAAGGGCAAGGTTTTTTTGCCATTTTCGACGGCCATGCTGGGAAACAGGCTGCCGAATGGTGTGGAAATCATTTTCACAAGGTAGAGTAAACCTACGTGAAGGATATGAGTAACAAGATATTCGGCCGGGCGAAATTTATTGTTTCGTACTTTAGGCTCTCATAGTGAGATAACGAAAGGATATATAACAAAAGTTTGTTTACAAAAAATCTGGTTCCTTATCATTTTTTCTTTTTCTTTTTTTCTTTTCTTTTTTGTGAAAATTATCATGAACATTTATTGCTGTTCTTGATGTTTTCTATTTGTTCAGACATTTCAAGACG